GTGTTGAGATGTCTGGAACCTGAAATTATACTAAAACAATTATTCACCTCAGGTTCCAGACATCTAACTAAACTATCAGCCTTTATTAAAAAAAAAAAAACCAAACAGACAGACAGACAGACAGACATCAGCAACTGACCTAGGTTGAGATCAAATGAACCTAGTTTGAAACAAATTTACCTAAAGAACAAATTGACCTACAACATTTAAACTTTTCTTAGGTTAATGAGTACCAAGTTTGTAATCTACCAATGACTTCTTGTGTATCATAGGTGAAGTAACACACCAGTTATTTGTTTTCCCTGAAATGCAATAAATATAGGACTGCATTTACGTACAGAGCTTGATCAAACACAGTCAATTAGACCTCTCATTCCAAACAGTGATCAGAGTGTTTGAAATGCCCCCTAACGTCTTAAATATAATTTTTAACCAACAGAAAATAAATAGTAGGAAACTATATGTTACTTGGGGATGTGTAGTGGTAGTTGAAGATGGATCAGTGCTGTTGGAGTGTGCTGTCATTGATCCTGGTTTACTCTTCAATACCAAAAAGGTGAAATCCTTGTTAGCTAATACTACGAAATACTCATTTCAGACGCATGCCCTCTCACTGAGAAGAGCAGTTCCTGGAAGACGGAAACCTTTTGATGAACTCCTGGCAGAGCACAAAGCGCGAGTAAACTGTGAAAAAGAACAACAACAGAATCAAGCTCTCAAGCTGCAAGAGCAGGCAGCAAATCAAAAGCCACTGGATGCTACTCGAAAAAGAACATCGAGTTCCTCAGACTCTCCTGTTTCGTCATCTACTAGCTCAAGGTTTGGGGCATTTCTTTTAACCATTAATTTTTTAAATTTAAATTTAATTTTACCACTGTACAAGAATAACAAACAATAAATAGGTACTGAAGATAAAGGAAAGCAATAGGGGGAAACTAAATTCCCATGTAAAAACTGCTCTCCAAGTTAGAAGATAATAAGATAAAAAGAAATGTCTAATGCATAACCACACATCTTGATAAAAAAGAAGATGGAGGAACTACTATGTCTTGTCAATAAAATCTAAATAATTATTGTAAATTATGATAAATAATTCAATAGAATCTAAATACAGTAATTTGTAAATAATACAAAACAACTAAGTACAAAGATAGTTAAATAATCGATTTTTAAAGACATTTAAACTGGGAGCCGACATAACAGAATTAGGTAACGAGTTCCAGTCATTAACATAATGGTCAAAAAATGAGAATTTAAAATAGTTTGTCCTTGCCGCTCTATGTCTGTATGCAAAGAAATCACTCCTGGATTAAAACAGCCGCCTGAAAGAACTTTGACGTCACTTGAAATTAAAACTACAAAAACTAATATTCAAAACAGGAGTGCATGCTTCATATACTTCTAACATCTGATCTGGGAATTACATAACTTTGCTTGCGTAACCCTGCTTCATTAACACCTAACACATACTGCTTGTGCTTTTGCCATGGTCCTCTAGTAAGAACATCAGTTAAGTATTTAAAAATATGTTACTTTCTTTTAGTACTAAAACGCATATTGGAAGGTCTCTTTCTGTTGAAGGTAAGTTTTGATTTGTCTTTTTTTTTTTTACATTACATTTTCAAAATGAGGGGTTAAATTCAATGCTTTTAAGATGCTGTTCATAGTATAGAAAGACTTGTTTTTGCCACCTATTTGAAAGGACAATACTTAAATTTTTGATTTGAGTTTTAGTGGAGTTAAGTTGCATCAGCATCAGCATTTATAAAACTTCTTGTGATGACAATATTTCAGATGAAAACAACCTTGTGAATAAAGTTGTGAAAGGTTCTTCTGATGGCACCATTGAAAATGGTGATAGCAGCACGAAATCATCTGGTTTGACAACCCTTAATCGTCATCCCAAACCTATGGCGGTAAGCACAGTCACATTAGTCTGTCTAGATAGAGGATAATGGTAAGATATCTGGCACAAAGAGAAAAACAAAATCAAATTACCGGTATTGTGAAACCATTTCCACTAGAATATGTTTTTGCTTAACTAGGAATATTGATTAAACTAGGCAAATGGTTTGAGCCAACAAGTAACTTATAGTCATAAAGTAGATAGATTGATATGTAGGCGAGGAACGTCTACACAGGGTTATTATTTGTGGCCGTGACTCATGTTTTGACAACTTAAATGGAGAGCGTCCTCGAAGTAGAGTTTGAAGGTGGTTATGATACTTGTTAGAATGACTGACTGTCAGAATTATTGACTGCTTGATATACTGACTGATTTGAAACTTTATTTAGAGCATCACTTATGATCTATGAACATGTAAATCTAAAACTATGCTTTTACGTATGATGCACGATCCTCGCAGTAGAGAGCGCTATTTATGCAATGGCAAAAATCAGACCTGAAAAAAATCAGGCCTGTACGGGATTCAAACCACTGACCTCTGTGATACTAGTGCAGCGCTCTACCAATTGAGCTAACAAGCCAACTGGGAGCAGGCTGTTAAGTTGATTCATAATAAAACAGTGATGATAAGTCAGATATGATGAATATATGAAGTTCATATATTTTGAACTGCGGTTATAGATATATATGATGCACGATCCTCGCAGTAGAGAGCGCTATTTATGCAATAGCGAAAATCAGACCTGAAAAAAATCAGGCCTGTATGGGATGCGAACCACTGACCTCTGCCATACTAGTGCATATATAATAATAATAATAATAATATCTAATAAGGGAGCCCGACTCGCCACAGCAGGTTTCAGTGGGGCCCTCATATTTTTACTGTAACTTGAGGGACTGCCGTTTTTTTATAAAGTTTAGTGCAATTTAAGAGACTCTGCAGTTTTTAGCTTTATTTTATTAGGTTATTAGTGTTATTATTATAAATAGTTTTTAGATTTTAGTTATTAGTTTTTAAAAACAGGACTTGCCTGAAAACCACCTGTGGGTGAGGCCACCTCCTGTATAAAGGCTGTAGTTATTATCATAATAATTATTATTACTTTTATGTGAAAATTTGACTTTTTGCACCACCAACTAAAATAACTGACTAACCTGTGGCAAGACTGATAGAGGAAATAAGTTACCAACACACAAATTTGTGATAAGTAACTATTTTGGTAGACAGAAAGGCAACAGCTTCATCTTCCCAGCTGGTGTCAAGCTTCATCCCCTTACAGCTTGTTTTACTAATTGAACTTATTTCACTGTGTTACAGTCTTGTCATTTTGGCACAAGAGCAGTAGGCAAAGGAGGTTACGTCTTTAATCGCAGAAGTGACCATCTTCGATGTGCTGTTCTTTCTATGGTAGAAAGATATCTGAATCCATCATTGCCAAGGTAGAGTACAAATGACAAATGAGAATTGAATTTTGGAGGCCAAAGTAACATGTAGGCTTCCTTCCCTTATCCTCTAACTAAATCTGCTTCATCTCAGAAGTTTCTTTCTTTTTCTCAGATGTCATTTTTTCATATCAACAGGCATAAGTCAAACAGAGCAAGTGCTGCCATCCTTCAAAGACCAACAATGAAAACAGTAGGACAGTCATCTAATCAAGGTAACAAGGCTATCAAAGAACTGCGAATATTGATAGCCCTTACTGTTGCCAACATATGGACGATTACTACATGTTGTGAGAGTAGTCTCTCTTAGTTCTTATCATAATTAACAATTGTTTACAGAAGGGAAGGTGAATCAAGGTGGATATTTACTGAGCTAAGCATCATGGTAAATATCCACCACAGTGACTTTCACTGACACTTGTTTTAGTATATATAACACACCGATACCAAAAAAATAAGTTTAATTCTTTCAATGTGACAAAAATGGTTGGAAATTAAACTCTTGACAAGCAGTTTTGTCTCATTGGCTGCGTGAAGGTGACTAGTACATGCTATTCACTTCTGAACGAGCCAATCAGCAGGTGCAAAAAGTGTTATTCACTTGTGTGTTATACACTTATTATTAATATCATTATCATCATCATCATTCTCACTATCATTAGTAGTAGCAATGTTGTTATTATTTTATTAGTAACAATTATTTGGTCCATGAATGGAGGTTCTCTTTGATGTAATGAAAACATTGTTAAATTTATTTTCAACAACTCTAGCATTATCTTCACATTTTCTGAAATTATTACAGGTTGGAATTTCTCATTAAGGACGTTGTAAACAGAGGGTTCTGATGTTATTGTAATTAACATTATTTTTTGCTCACAAACAGTACTAAAAAGTGCTTATGGTTTTAATGTATATCACTTTTACAGGTTTCTCTTCAGTTCTGGATAGGTACAAAAGCCACACCAATAAATCATTGAACAATTTTCTCAAAGCTCCACCCCCTCCTAGAAATAAATCATTTAAACAAGTTAGTTCTGGACAAGCAATTAATCACATGGACAATGGTTTAAATTCCTCAAGGAGTTCTGTATTCCAAGGATCTACATTGCAAAGCAAGAGACCCTATTTAGACTCTATTGGTTCAGTGAATTCAAATAGCTTGGGATCAACCACATACATCAAACCTGACGCTAGTAGCCAGGCGATCAGTGATATGGGAAATATTGTCGCAAGCATCGAAACTAATGTGTCGGGTGGACACCCTCTTAGTCTTGGGCACCCACTAGGAGTAATGGTTACGAAGTCATCAGTGGGCCCAGGGCCGAGTTTAAGTGTCAGCGGAAATGCAAACCCAGACTCGAGTTTAAATCTGTGCTCAGCACTTGGGATAAATTCAGGTGCTGCGCAGGGATCTATTTCGACTACACAGACTACTTTTGTTGCAAGTAATGGTATATCCATAATGTCAGGGGCTAGCGGAGCTCAGTTGTCTGGCATAAATACTGTGACTGGTCCACTACAGCCTGGATTAACAAATGTAAAAGAAATTTTGCCAGCCCCTATGGTGGGAGGAAAGGTTGCAGTCGGTACGGTGTCTTCAACATCCACATCATCGCCATTGTATAAAGCGGTAATTAATATGGTTTTTTTTATTACTTAAATTCTCAAAGCAGTGTTACTATCAAAGTAATTGCTAAGATGTAACTGCTATGGCAATGTAGGGCTGTGGTTTAGCAGCGCCCGGTGGCCCCTGGCACCTTACTTTTGCTCTTGAGTAACTCAGGAATCTTAGTTTTTTCATAAAAAGCATATGCTGGGCACCCTGGATTTCACAGTTTCAGAGCACTGGGCTCCCCTCAATTTTTCAAGGAGCACAGCCTTGCAATGTAAAGTTTTGTTTAACGCATACCTGAGATGGGAGTAAATCCTTTAACTCCTGACATTACATTGTTAATTCTCCCCTCTAATTGCTAAATATTTCCTTGTAAATTCTACATGATAAGTCAGAATATTCTCATTGCTTGTTTACTGGATTCTGTATGAATATTATAGGGAGAAGTTACATGTTAATCACTTTTGGGAGTTGAAAGGTTTACTGTTTCTCAAATAAGCAAACTGTGGGCAGTTATTGGATAGTTTTTCTGATTTCAGATAGGGGCACTTTAAAAGAGGCTTCATTGTTTTTCTGAATAGTTCCTGCTGATCTTTCCTTGTATCTGATTGGCTCAATTGGTTAGAGTGCCGGATTAAGTTGTGCGGAAGATCGAGGGTTCAAGCCCCGGCGGGACCAATACTCGTGGTCTTAAAATAACTGAGGAGAATTTGCTACCTTTCTATAATATAAAGAAATGGGTAATTGTGAAGAAGAGCTCCCCAAAAAACCTGTCGGCCGACAGTCGGCCGACAGTTGGTCGTCTGTCGGCCGACAGGTTTTTTGGGGAGCTCTTCTTCACAATTACCCAAAAATGACGAAATCACCATTATTGGAATTAATAAGGCTTGGGAAAAACGAATCAAATGATAGTTTTAAATGATGGTTAAAAGAAACAAAATGACCTTTACGAATTAAAATTATCAATTTTT